GTGTGGAGAAGAAGGGGTATTGATTCACAGTCTGTTTAATTACTTTGAGTGGAAATAAGCTGTGGGTACACAGCAGTTCTTAATGTTTAAACTGGTGGAGTAGTGCATGTTTTGTACTTCTAGTTGAAAGCATTGTAAGGTTCCTTCATTAATTCCTTAACCTGTTTTGTTGGATTACTGAAAATATTCTAGGCAGTGTCAATGTGCTTTGCAATTTTCAGTGTTCCTAATTCTTGCCAACAAGATACAGAGAGATTGGGAGAGAGTATGCTGAAGTGTATCTTCTGATACTCTGGGATGTCACTTCCTTATTAAAATTCTGGTGTGCTGACAGAATTGGTTGATCCGTGTTTAGCAAGATCAAAGGGCAGGCTCAAAATAACATTGCTACGGTAAGAATGTAATACTTTATTTACCTCAGATGCCTGTGCACGTGCCGCTTCCTTTCCTCTTCTCAGAGAAGAGGCACTTTGGACACCTTCCAATACTTCGTAGAATAGCTCCACTGTTTAATTTTGGTGTGCCAGACTTCTAAAAGACTTTTTTTAAAATAAAAATGTTTATTGAGTGAAGGTAAAATTTTAAATATGATATATAAACCATTTAATTTTATGTTTTTTTAGTTTACAGTTTTTGTGTGTTTTGGAGGTACGTGTTAAAGCATAGTACAGAACAGTACTATGCAATAGAATTTCTAGTCATTTATGGTATTTGGAAATTGAGGATTATACAAAGATGTTGGAACAGATTTTTCAAACACAGCACTTAGCTTTTGAACAGTATATAAGTTCTGTTTAGAAAGTGTGTGAAAATATCCAAAGAAGGCAAGAGGCATGGGGTCAGAGTAATCACTGTAAAACTTGGTTTCTTTTGGTGTGTTCTCTAAGTAGCCATCCTTGTCTTATAGATGTATAGGTGGAAAAATCTGGTGAATAACAGCAATATGCCTACCTTGCTGGACTGCCCTTGGCTTTCTCAAATAAACATTTTTTCTGGCATCATTGTGAAATGCAAGCCAGGCACATGCTGCAAAAACTCTCTGTACTGACAGTGTACAAAAGCCAACCACTGAGCAGCCAAATGTTTGAAAACTTGCAAAAAGAGTTAGTTGATTAAATCAGGGGGTTCGTGCTTACAAGAAGTAAGGCAAAAAACCCCTAACCTTTCTATGTTCTTCCAGCATTGGAGAGGGGGAAATAAGAAAGTGGTGAATCAAAATTAAACAGAGATTTCCTTTTGGATTGACAAACCTCAGTAGAAGTGTAGGCAGTATTTGAAACAGTATGCATCTTCCTCGCAGTAGTTTCTAGGGCTGTTATGTGAATGCCAGTTTACGTACTTGCTGCTCAGCAGACCTCTGAAAGCCTGCTGTTTGTACTGGTGTTTTGCACACGGGACAGTTCATTGGAAGTCTGCAGGGAAGTTCTCCTACTAGTCTGCTTCATAAATTTGGGAACGATGCTTCTGTGAATGAAGCTGATTCAAGATGAGTTTCTTCAGAAGTGGGGAGTACCTGTCTTAATCCTAATGTAGCTGTAGGAGGAGTTGGCTGATTGCACTGTCAATGTAGTCCTTCAATGTTGCACTTCACTTCTGTCCTACACTGACAGCTAGTAATTTGAAAATGACGCTCCATCATTTTTAAAAAGGAGCTCTTAAAGTACTGGGAACAGAGAGGTGAGAATTGGGGAGCATGACCCCTAGAAGCACAGTTAGTTTTGACTAACTTTTGCTACATTTCTGAGCAGATGAGAATCAATCAGTGGGACAAAGCACTGAGATGCCAGAAAGCGCAATATGGAGAAAACAATGATTCATGCTTCAGTACCAGCTGGATGGATGTGGGGACATAATTACAGTGTGCAATCAAATCTGCAACAGTTTGCCTCAGCTCACTGGTGGCTGAGGTCCCCCTTTTCTTACACCTTTGGGTAGAAGGGCTTAGACAGCCTGTGTTCAGCGTGGTGTAGAATCATGGTCCTACAGTACAGCCCCGGAGTCTGTTGGGAGTGGATGTGGAGAAGTGGATAAGCCTAACGTGTCCACAGATTTCAGCTGCAGCCCGTGGGAAAGCTGCAGAGGTTCGTTCTGTGAGAGTTTTTGTGGTTTGAAAAGCTCAGATACTGTGTTGCTCTCAGCAATTGAGCTAATACTGGTTTCAGATACTTCGAAGTAGGAGATTTGGGGTGGGAGGAGGTGTCTTTAATTTCAGTAGCTGACACCGCAGAAGTCCCTGGTTGAACCTGCACTCTTCTTCATGGCTGTCTTCAGAAACTTAATCTTTCCTGCTTCTGACTTGAGAACAGATTTTGGAGGAACACGGTAATAGTTCTCTGCTATATGGGTCAAGGAATTCTTCAAAAATACTTTGATCAGTGGTTGAATCTTGTAAAAGGAACAAAAGAATTAAATTGGTGCAGTTCCATCTCCTGTGAACTAGAGGATGCCAAGACGCGTGTTCTGTTGGAGTGCAGTGAATGGTCTTCTCTCGGAAAGTCTCCTCTCTGAAAAAGCTTCAGTTACTATTATTATGCTATTATTATGCTTTGGAGGGCTAAAATTGGAAAGGGGTAGGAAAAGAACTTTTTCCATTTCCTTAACCGTTATGAGGGAGAAACACTTAAAAAGGGAAAAGTAAGATTACAGAAGGTGATTAAGGCTCTAAGACCAGCCATTGTAGTAGAATTTTTTTATGGTACTCAAACCCATTAATTTTAAATTGGCAGCTACCTTTTAATCCATTCTTAAAAAAGTTTTTGTTGAAAGTTTAACAGATTTCTGTAAATATCTTTAAGGAAATGTATATTCTAAATAAAGGCGGAAATCTAGAGTTTCTTTTTTTTGTTTTATAAGGGCTGGGTTTTTTGGGGTTAAGTCCATTTGTTTTAATGAGTCTGAAGAAAATCAAAACCTAATAATTGCCTTAGTTCTATGTTGACAGTAGATTTTCTTAACAGTAATAGTAGAAGTATTTTTTGAGTTCAGTGACTCTCTTTTGAAGTTTTATTTACATACTTTTCAAGGGTATGCCCAGCGAGCAGAATTTCAGTGTGTGGTAGTTTAAAGTCAGATTGCCCAGCCATACAGTTTTGTTGTTCATAAAGAAAGGGCACAGTTTCTTCTTGTTCTTGTGTAGGCAATGATTTGGACAGCGTTGTAGAAGCCAGAGCCAGACATTAACTGATACCAGAGAAGTGATATTTTTTTTCATTTGCAGACTTGATGCTATAACTTTTAAAGTAGGTATTGTCATGAAGTTTTATGAAGCTCTTTTTAGCTACAGAACCCCCTATAAAAACGCATTTGTGAAAGTTGCTTACACTTTCATATGATTTAGAATTCTATCCAGGTTTATGGATGGAAATTTTGTTTGCTTTTCGGGTTCCTGGCAAGATTTCTGTGTGCATTAGTTGTGAATTACTAAGGTAGCAATTGCAATATTGCTGAAATGTAGACTTGACCACAGTAATTCCTGTTTTGTACTGCCTGCTCAACTGGCCTGTCATACTGTCTTCGGTTGGGGCGTATCTTAGAAGGTTGTTTGGAAGCTTTTGCAAGGTGTCTGGTAGTGTAAACTAAACTTGATGTCATTTAGCTGGAAACATGCAAATGCAGTCAGGACTGATGCTTCATTGTTTTTATATTGACGTGCATAGAAGGAGGACAAAAGTCTTAGTGAAATGAGGAGCTTTGCTATGGAGGAAGTAGAAGGAGAGATATAGAGCTTCTTTACTGAGCATGTTACCTTAAAACAGCAGCTGGATGTCTATCAGATAATGTTAGATTAAGATACTGATTTCCACAGAGCTAGACTAGAGTGATGAATTTCAACTAATGCTGTCCACAAAAGTATAAAGCTGTGTTTGATGAAGAGAGTGAAGAGGGTCTAGCATGAGTTATGTCCAGAAAGGTAAAAAGGGGAGCCTATGACTGCTAAATTTATAATTCAGAGTTGCAATTTTATCTTAATCTGAGTCCGATGCGTGTTCCTGAGTGGATAGCATTTTGATTCTCAGGGCAGGGAAACATAAAAGTGGTTTTTGGATTGGTTATATAGCTTGTTCTGCCTTTTCAGACATAGGCCAAGAGACTCACTTAATAGGTTCAGGTTTAGCAAATGGAAAAAATACGCACTAAGCTGCAGTGGGAACGTTACATTTCTTTGGAGAATAAATGTGTCTGTGCAGATTCTGTCTTTTTAATGTGTTCTGGCTCTGTAAGAAGAATGGACTTCCTTCCTCACCCTATGTTTAGCTATTATTATTATTACTGTCTGTTTCTTTTGCTTTACACATTAATGAAAAAAATTGTCAGTTTTGCAAATCAGTGAATTTTTAAAAACATTTTTGTAAGCATCTCTGGTTACAGTGTGCTTTTGAAACAGAATTATATTTATATATTCATGAAGAAATAGACTAAAAATTTCAAGTTTTAGCATTTTTTGGAAGAACAAAAAATACGGCATGTAACTACTCAAAAATACATTTCAGTAAAGTGAGTTGAAAAATGGTACTAGGTCCACTGTAGAATTTCTTATTTAGATAAGTATAGTCTGCTAATGTAAAAACACGCACCCTAAGTATTGTATGATCTACCAATAAAAGAATAACAAGGGCACAGTATGAAAAACACATATTTAACAGACTTTGTGACACAGGAAAATAAAAATACATGTCAGATGAAATATTAGCATAAATGTTCATAAACTATTTTAATATAAATAAGAAATGTCACTGAGAAGAATATACTTAGTGCAAATCTGGTGGTGGGTAATTTAATTTTTGTTTTGTTTTGCTTTGGGTTTTTTGGGTTTTGTTTTTCCTTGGTAAACAGTCCATGTTTTCCTTGAAATCTGTGGAAAATGAATGTGACCAATTTGAACTGTCCTAGTCTCGAAGTAGATTTAATTTTTTTTGGAATACAGGAATATTTTACTTTTGAAAACGTATTTACAGTACTGTATACAGCTTGCTAACATGTATGTGAAATGTCACTTGCAGGTGCTGACCTTAAAGAAAGAGCAAAAATGCACTCAAGTGAAGTTAGTTCTTTTGTCTCCAAAGCAAGAGCCACTATTAATGAAATGGGTATGTAACCTCTCACTTGAACGGTGTTATTTTAACTGTAACCTGAGAAGGGTTAGTTCAGAGGAATGGCGTAAGTGTGCATGGTTAATTCTTGGCAGATAGCAGGGTGTCCACAACTATTTATATTCATAAATACAAATCATGGTGCATTACTTCTTCTAAAATGTTCCTAATCGAGTTAGACCTTTTTTTTTAGAATGCTAGAAAAAGCTAAATCTCAGCTGAAACAGGGGTGATTTGCTCTGCTGTTTTCATAAAGGATGGATGTTCTGTGACATCCAAGTACTTTAGAATTTAATTTTCACCTCTGCATTCTTGTGGTCAGTATAGTTAATACAGTATTTAATACACTTTAGAAACCTATTAAATGTCAGCTGTTGATAGAAAGTTAGCTAGTAAGGCCTTCTAAAATACACTTGTTCTGCTGTAGTAAAACCTGTTAATAGTCCAGGATTTTAATTGACTTGTAGCAGTTTTTAAGGATAGTGATTCTCTGTAAATTTTACATTATAAATTCACCATCAAATCATTATGTTTCTACATCTCTGTGGATCAGCTTTAATATAGTTGTTTTTCAACAGGGCAGTGCCAATATGTTTTGTGAAAGAGAGAATTTTATACATTTGGTTTGCAGATACAACATATTTGGTCACTTGAAATTTTGGCACATAACTCTGAAGAGTAAATCATTTCCCAGAGAATGTTTTTAGATGCATTTCCTTAACAACATTGGGTCAGATCTTGGTTTGGCAGAATGTTATGAATAGAAACCAGTATGTTTTTGCAGGTAAGTGACAGACTACTGAAGAATAAGTCTTTCATGCGGTGTTTCATGGAGATACTTGTGTCTTTGAATTAATGTCTTGTTTTTGCCTCAAGGCTCTTTAAATGAATAAAAGCAATAAAATATGTGGAAGTGAATAGATCATTAATTTCCTGAAGCTCATACTGTATTTCATGTTGGCGTTTGTCCTTTTATTGGAATGCTGAGCAAGAGGCAACAAGTTGTTCCGTTTAGCTACTTTGTAAGTTTTTTTGGGAGGCTTCCTTGGCACTAAGTAATGATTTTTCAAACTTGCTTGGGCCGAAGTTGCTGGAAATGCTTTCTGACCTGCTATTGATGGTTAAATGGAGGCAACTGATTTTAAGATTTTCCTATGATCAAAAAATAGTTTTTTTAAATTGGATTATTTTTAATTTTTTGAGAAAATTCCTAAAATCTAAAGAAGCATTTGGATTTGGCATTCTGCAGTGAATGACTGGAAAACATATACAGTGATTTGATGCTTTGTTTTGCTTCAGAATTGAAAAGACTTTTAAGACAAATGTTTGATTGTCTTCAACTTCATTAAGGTTCCTGTGAGAGAGAATATGTAAGCAAATTTTCAGTGTTACCTAAAAGGTTTACAGTGAATCATTATCCTAACAGTGAATTACTTGAAGTTTAGGAAACCAGTATGAGTGCTTTCATTCATTGATTTCTAGTCTCTTTCTCAAAAAACAAGCATGAAATTGTGAGCAAGTGGAATTAATATTTGAGAATTTAGGTCACTGAAGTACCTAGATAGGAGGGTTTTTGAGGGAATGTAGTAATAGCAATTAGACATGCTGCAGGTTGGAAAAGAGAAAGAATTTGAACATAGCCCTGGCCCAATATTGTAACAAGACTTTTGCTTGGGTTGGGTGAGTGTCTTTCTCCCCTCTTGCTCCCTCCCTCCTTCCCTCCCTCCTTCCTCCCTCCCTCCTGCCATTTTGCCATTTCTGCTTTAAAACACTAAACAAAACAGTCACTAGAAGGTTCTTTAATGGTTACGTGGTATTTGGCCGTCTCCCAGTTCATTTTTTTAAAGGCTTTTTTACAGGATTACAGATGAGTATTGAGATATATCACTTTTAATGTTACTGGTCAGTTTTCACATTGTGTATGTTTGGACATGCATACAGTACAAGTAGCTTTTATTTTCAGTCACAGGACGTATTCCCACTGTGTACATGTTAGAGGCATTGTTGTTTTTGAACACGTTATGCCAACAGTAGATGAATTTATAGGATGGAGCTAGCATTTTTCTGAAGAGTCTTTGCAGAGCAATTTAGGATGTGGTTCCCTATATCAGGAACTGGTAGAGAATATGAAAAAAGTGGATTTTGTAAAAGAGATTAGATTAGATGGGTGCACGAGGTGTCATGTTGTGTGATGCCCTTATGAATAGAAGTGAACATTAATTTTGTAGCAAGTCGGAGGTTCTCAGTTCTTTTTTTCTTCTGAAGAAGTGATCTGGTATAACAGAATGTATTTTTTATAGAACTAATGGAACATTGTATTTGCATTTGATTACTGCAATGAATCTATATATTGAAAACAATCACAATATTTTTCCTGCACAGCAACAACCAGAATGTTGTAAGATGGTTAAAGAGGGGAAACAATTTTCAAATTGTTATTTGCCACTGCAGAATGCTGTATAGGCAGGGAACAGTATTTCCTCTCTCCCACTTTGTACTTTTTCTATCCTAGTTTAATGCTGTAATCTCATTTAAAATGTGTTCTACTTTTTGCTTTGCAGAAATAGGTCATGTTTTGATAATTGCCTTTGTGTTCAGATGTGTGACCTAGTAAGGAGATGCTTCTTTTTAACAATATTTTTTTGGAAAGAAGACCATTAATTTATGTTTGCAGATGTAATTATCCTTGTGTGTATTTTATCTTGGACAACTAGATAAACTTAGCTTTTTAGAATTGACATGCTTTGGCTTTTTTTAGTTCTTGTCAATTTCATTACATTTAAGCTCCTTACGCTAGTGGTTTTGTAAAAAGCTGTAGCATCGTTTTGGAATACAGCTACAGAAGAGATTTTTCTGGAAATTAAAAGCATACTGTATTTGTTTTTATGAGATTAATTTATAACTTCTTGCTAAATTTGGATGAAGTATTAAGAATGCAGTAAATATCACTTGGTATAAAAATAAGCACTTAAAGCTGAAAAAAATGTACTGAGCTGTTAGTTGCAGTGTTTAGAGCTTTAAGTTGAGGGGGGGGAATCAAAACAGCCTCTATTTTTAGCAGTGGTTGCTTTTGCTAAAATTATACCAGAATTGTGGGGGTTTGTTTGGGTTTTTTTGTTGGTTTTTTTTAAATAGTAGGAATGGTAAGACTGCTTGTCCATTAGTATATTCTGCCTTGAGGCTTTTCATTACTGATGCAAGGCTGGCTTTACCCTCAAAAAAGTAGGAGAGAAAAACATTAATAGAACTCTTGCAACCATGCACAACAGAACAGGCCTGACTAAATGAAATCAAATGTTACTGACTCCTAGAAACCTTGTTTTTTGATGCTTTGGGGAAAACAACCCGCCATGATTGTGAGTCAGATCATCAGCATGTTTTTTATGGTATGAGCCCATTAAGTCCATGTTGTTCTTTTTACTGCCTGTGGGGTCCAGGCTGTGGTATTGCCATTATATATATGTTATTTGTTGGGATTTCAGTTGCAAAGCAAACTGAGGCTACGTACGGAACTGAATGCAATAACCACTCTCCTCCAGATAAACACCTTGTTTAACAGAAGGAAAAAGTGAAGCTGCAGAAGGAATCTGAATGCGGCAAATACTTGCAATTACTCAGAGTGACGTATAACTGAGCAACGCATTTGGTTAGCAAAACTTTTCCAGAGAACATAGGCACAAGTACCTAAATCCTACAAATGGGGGAAAAAAAATTAGACACTGACTTTCTTTGTTACTTTTTAAAGTAACAAAGGGTGGTCAGACTTGATTTTTATGTCACGTGTGGAGGCAAAACACCTGACTTGTGGCCTGATGGAACCTAGATCTGAACTAAGCTAAGGAAGAAGTTTTTAATAAAATACTGTTTTTCCTTGTTTTCTATTGGAGATGTTCCATTCTAACAAACCTTACAGTGCTTTGTTTAAAACTTAGTTTTGATGCATAAGTCGTGATATAATTTTAATAAGTAGTGATACTTAGTAACTTTTGTTTAGACACAGTTTTCACAGATGTGATTTGTTTTGACATAGTCCAGTTTGAATGAGATCATCCTGAATGAAAACACCTCGCGGTCAGTTACTTGCATTTATTTTTTTACTGTATGCTTTTTATTTTATTCAAAGCAGATACAACTCTGTATTTACAGATTTTAGGTTTTTTCCTCTTTAGCAATTTTCTGTCATTCTGGCTTCTCTCAGTCATCATGAAGTTGTCATTTACCTGAAAGAGTGCTCTCGTTCGTCCTTCAGGAGAGCAGTCTCTTCTCTGAGAAGTTCATTTTTTGAGTACTGAAGATCATGCATCCTGGGAAATATTTAGGTTGTGCCACATTATATGCTACAGTTTTGGATGCACACTGTCAAAACTTCATCTCAGAGGTCCCACGAGTGGGATCAGGATTAGATGAGTTTCACTTGATTTCTGGTCTGCTAACTGCCACCCCACCTTCCCATTGTAAAGCCTCAAAAATAGGCAGGAATGATCATTGATGAGGTCAGTGCAGTGCCTTATGTTGCTATTTGGGTTTCTGGGGCTTCTGTGGAGATTTCATTAACACTAAAAATCCTGCTTCAGTGATGAACACTCCAGACCTGATTACTACTCTGAGAAAGGACTGCTTATTGAGCAAATCCATCAGTGTTTGCTGGAGGTAAATCTGGGCAGCAACGTAGGAGTGCTCTAGTTTGGAGGTCCAGTAAGAAGAATTGTGGCTTTGTCTCTTAGGGAAGAGCAGATACAGGTACAGCAGAAGGCTGTAAGTTGAAAAAACATTGACTGGGAAGCTGAATAGAATATCGCAGGTAGCTGTCAAATTTGAAAAAGCACAAATTCACAGCAATCAGTGCCGTGCTTAGCAGTGCCGTGCTTAGCAGCCATCCTTAGGCGTCATGGTCTCCCAGTGTTGCTGACACTGTGAAAGAGAGATTTTGGCACAGTGCTTCTCTTGTTGTGTTTGTTGCCTGTTCAGTTAAGCATAGAGCATAGCTAATACAGTCC